CTGCGACTTGCGTTTAATGTAGAACGGCCTTTGAGTTCCACTTTTGTGGAAATACGGCTAAAACCAGCGGCTGAAACCGTCGTAAAAATTTACATTTGGATGGCCGCTCTCAGGTTTCTCTCTGTCTATAGTCAAAGGTTTGGTACATTTTCTCTCAATCTGGTACATTTTTAACAGTTAGTTGGTACAAAATTTTTTTTTGTTCTGGCAACACTGATTACATATGTAATCAGTGGGTCGAAGGAAAAGTTTTAACAAAAACTCGAGTCTTATGAGACATTAGGGAAAAAATAACATGACAAGCCGCGAAGCTATATTTTAGTTTGGTTTTTGTTTCTTTTTTGTAAATTACATGCATACATGTGTAACATGGAAGATATAGAACGTTATATAAAAATCATACACCAACGAAGAATCGCTACTCAACGCGAGTTGGACAGTCTTCGTGAAGAATCTGATGAGCATAAGAAGTTGATGAAAACACTGCAAAACATGAAAAGTACTCTTCCAATTTCTTTTAATTTCTAAACATATATAAGTATGTACAATTGTATGTAGAATTGTTATATGAGATTATATTGTAAATGTCAACTTGTGTTTTTTTTGTTTACAGAAGAAAGAGAAGAATGCATGGAGAATATTGCAAAAAATCTTAAAACAATTACAGCGCAGAAACACACAATACACAAACATATACATTCCTCAAAGGATATTTCAGGCATGCCTATACCCCATAGTTACACAGAGTAAGTAAGAATGTTTCTTGTTCGCAATAGAATTGTATAAAATTTTGTTATTTTGCTTACAGAGATATGAGAATGATGTTCACTGATACAATTGAATTTTTGAACAACATGGGAGATACTTTTAAAACATTCAGTAATGCAAGGGAGAATAATGATCCTACAAAACTGATTAAAGATGTGGTAAAAATATATATACAGAATTACTTGTATAGAAAAATGTAGAACAGAAAGAGTTGAAGGGAATATTTCAAATTTAATGTTTTGTTTGTTAATTGTTAGATAACATGCACAGAAGCTGCAGAAAGTAATTTATATCAAACCAAATGTCACATTACACAGCTAGAAACATTGAAGGAAGCAACAAAGAAATGCCAACAACATATTTTTAACAGTATTGATAGTATTGAAGGTAATATATTTTCTACTACTTTTATTTTGTTTAATAATAATAATAAACAAAATATATCGACACATAAAATGTGATAAATAATTTAGAGAATCGTTATTTTCAGATGAAAGTTTAGATTTTAGTGTAAACGATGAGCCACCTGAGTGAATCAACTACAAAATAACAGGTTTATTGCAAATGTTTATTGTCCGTTATTTAAAATACAAAACAGTTTTCGAGTATCCTTGTGTAAGAAGTATGTGTAATGTCCTATTACATTTTCTATAAAAGTTTTTCTTGGCAGTTACATGTATTGAACATTATCCAACTGATCATCCAGATTCAGTTTTAACATTACTAATTGAGGATCCACAACTTCCTGAAACGTGTTGTTTGTAAAATAATTAACAAATTGTATTTCTTTTTATATACATAAAAAAATATATTTTATATTTAAAAATAAGTTATACATATGTCAAGAATTATAAATAAGGTATTTTTCTCTTACTGTAAAGTGAGTAGTAACTTTGAATGTCCGTTGCTGATTAGATAATGCTTGGGTGTCTGCGTAATTGTATGGGATGTTTGCGCTTTTTTTCAGCTTCTCCAGTTGAGCTGTTAAAGCCAACTTCTCGCTGTAAAAACGTTCATGTGACTTAAATGTGCCGAATTTACGTTATCGATGGGATCATTTATAGTTTTTTTTTTTTACCTCGCTGAATTGAACTTGTCAAATACATTAAAGTGTGGGTCGAGTTTAGCTTTATGATCGTCTTCGATGTGACGAAATTCTTTTAGTGTTTTAACTGCTTCCTCGTTTCTTGCGAATGCTAACTGAATAAATTGTTTATTAATTATCAACCTCACCAAAATTGATATATATACACAATTGATTGATATTACCTGTGTAAAACTTTCAAGGTCTTGGGCGTGCGTCAAGAGGCGATGTTCCTTTTCCTGCAAAACTTGCTGTTGCTTTTCAAGATATTTGACTTTTTCTTGCCATTTCAATCGTTCCTGATTAGCGAGTATAGTAGCATCTTGAGCTGTTTTTATGGCAGCAGCCATCTAAAACATTTCTTGCACTTCGTCTAATCCTAATATGTAACTATGTACACACAGATATATGCACTAAAATATGTTTTACTGTATAAAAATTTATCTTTTTGATTTACCTCTATGTTGGTGATATTATCCGAATTACTCTTTATTGTTCTAAGAACTTCATATTGTTTCCGTTTAGCCGCAATTATTTCTTTCTCTTTTATCAAAGTTTTCAACTGCTTTTCTTGTTCGTTGAACCAAGATTCTTTCAGAGCCTTGTAACAGATACGATATGTTGCACAAAATTTTGTAACTAGTGTGTGCAATTTTATTTCATATTAATATTCTTAACGTAATTTACCTGTAATTGATTGCGCTCCCACTGTACTTTCTCTTCGAACATCTCTCTTTCGTGTAACAAAACTTCTTCTTTCTTTTTTAGCGTTTCCAGTGTTTCATTGAGCAACGTGCTCTTCTTCTCCAATTCGAGTACCAATTGCGCTACGTGCGAATCCAATTTGTCTGCTACTTTTATCATCCTATCACGTTCTTGCTCCAGTAACTCCTGTCGCTTCTTTATATCTACGTTTCGTACTGCAACAATATTATACAGAATGAATAACGTCTGCGCAATCTGCCGAAAGTTACTTTTTTAAATAACATTTCGAGCAACGTACTTTGCATGTCTTCCTCTTGACTCTTTAAATAATGTTCTCTTAATTTTATACTTTGGTCGTCTCTTTGGTCAGTCTTTTCTTGCGTCGTTTTTATACTCTCTATAATAGAGTCAGCCTTTTGTAATAGATTTTGCAAGTCAGTCTTATGAGTCGCTATAGTTGTCATAGCTAGATTCTCTACCTCTCGCATTTTTAATATATTCTCGATTGTATCAAAGTGCTCTTTTTGCAGCAGTTTTATATTTTGAGAATGGCGCTCGTAAATCTCTTCTATGATTTGCGCATGCTCCTTCTAAATCAAATAATTAACAATAATTGAAAAAATGATTAATTTTAACTCAAATATGACGACAGTTTTGATAAACTGAAATATGTCATATGTACTTTCAAATTCTGTATTTCTTCTTTGTAAAATGTTTCAGTTTGCATTTTTTCGTTTTTCAACTTTTCGATCTTCGCTTCGTAATCTGTCTCTAGATATTCCAGTTCCTGCTGCAATCTTTTTTCCAGTGTGTCCGTTCTTTCTTGCAGAAATCCTATTTGTCGTCTAAGAAAAATTGTGTGAATAATTTATAAACAATCATTTTTCTCTCAGTATTTACATCTAATAATAATTCATCTTACTTGTATGATTCGTCCAAGATCGTTATCTCATTTTCATATTTCTCATTCAGACTGTTTATTGTTACGTTTAGATGAGACTTTTCTAATTCTAGTTTCTGAATTGCGCTTTCGTAACCAATAGTAGTTTTGTGGATTAAACTGCTTGCATCTTCTGAAGCTTTACTTACGTCAGGATTAACTGAAGCTGCTGTGTTAGGCTGCATTAAATTGAAGATTAAATGTTTTATAATTCTGGTTAGACAATGCGAGTTTACTTATATTCTAATTATTAAAAACAATTTTAGGACTTACTTACTTTAGGATAATCTTCTTCGCTTTTTCTTTTCTTGACTTTATCAATTTCAACTGTTTGACTATTTGATGATTTTATTGGTTTTTCCTTCTCGTATGGCAGTGATCCAACTAGTTTTGTTTCGTCTTCTTGTTGTGCGTTCACTACCTATATATTTGATATGTATATGTAATAAAAAAACGACAAAACTCTGTATGGTTTTATAACATCAGTGATATTTCTTACTTCGTGCATCTTATCAGAGCTTGATCTCCTACGTCTATCAAATTCATCAGTAGGTGTTACTTTATCTTGAATAAAATCTGTGTTTTCTGATATCGGTTTAGATTCCAACCAATCTGGCAAATATTCCTTAGTCTCTTTTTGTCTGTTCGAAGAATCTGCAGACACCGAGCGTCTTTCCACTGTCTTCAATAGATAGAAAACAATTATTAAACATATATAAAAACAGTATGATCAAAGTATTACATACAGTCTAGCATTCTAAACACGAGTGTTTACACATTTACAGTTTGCTCGGTTTGATTTGATATCGTGCTTGAAGCAAATAATCCCAGAGGATCGTTAATTATCTCCGAAGTTCTCTTGCCTCTACGAGGCTCTTTTGTCCTGAAAGCTGTCGGTGCGTATAGCGAATGTTGCGATTGTGCTCTAGGAACTTCAGTTGCTTGTGTAACTTCGTACTCTGACTGCAGAGACTTTTTACTGATATTTGATTCCTTTGACGATGACACATGCAATGTATCACTAAACAAATCTTGCATCAGTGACAATTTTTTCGCTTTGTCATCTGTTGCTTTTGATCTGTCAATTCCTGCAGACACAGAACTATTATCTTCTGGCTTCGAAAGTGAATCACTGAAAACTTTTTTGTCAAACAAATTATCTATTATATTTCTCTTTTCTCTCATTGCTGGATTCTTCTGACCTGATAGGAAATCTTCTTTATCAGTAAGCAAATCAGCTAGTGGATCATCTTCATCTACAAAAAAAACGATACGAGGAAGTAATAGAGAAATAAAGAAAAATTAATTTAAATATAAAAATGTTTATTTTTTCAAATATATTTAAATGACACTTTCTATGTAGATGTGTAAAGTTAAATAGCATTTATAACACACTAGATCAAACCTGCAAATGTAATTCTCTTTCTGCTGTCTTCCATGAATGGATTTCTCTTCGATGCGTTACCAAATAGTTTGTCATCTAAGCTATCCATATCTTCCACCGTGTCTACCATTTTCAGAGCGATTGTATTCGCGTGTTCGCGTACAAATTATAAAATATATTACAATTCCATGGTTTTTTACAATTTTATTTGTCATTTACTATTGTCGCAGTTGCTTATAATTGCTCATTAAACGCGAAAATCCGTAAACTGCATTATACATTATGTTAGTTCAGATAAAAAGATGCTTGTAGGTGAAAAGAACTTGTGTATGTTACAAATGTATACGTGTTAATTAACATCGAAGAGCATAAAATGGCCTCTCTGTTTCAATTCTCCCGCAAGAGAGTGACAGTCAGGGGGTTCAAACTCACCTCTTGTGAGAAGGGGAACGCTGTTTTCAGCGCCGCCTGGGCCATGGTACCGGAAGCATCGAACTAAAAACGAGTGGTGGGAGGTTGGCGGGCATATTGAAATCATATCGCGCGCGCGTGCCCCGTAGCTATAGATACTTATAAATATTAAAAATAAATTTAGAAATTTTCTGAGCAATGTCGTAAAATTTAATGTTACTTAAGTTACTTGAGACTATGTAGAAAATATATTTTACAATTATTATACAGGCTATTTCTAAATTGTACTTTTAAAACAGTAAATAACAGTAAAACTTAACCACACCGCTCAGAAACTTATTTTGTTTAATTTTATTATTTTGTGCATTGGAAATATTAT